CTGAAAAGTCAATGTGTTGATAATGAAATTATATTAAAATTGGCTTGCTGCTGCAAAAGATTTGGTTTGGAAATAAAGCTAGATAGATTTAAGGAAAACATTACAACAAAAAAGGCACCATATGTTGATTGGAGGAGAATCATATAACAATTTAAATTTTTTACTCATAATTTATTTCATTAATTATAATATTATAATATATTATATTCTGAATATAATTTTATAATAACCACTTTATAATGCCTTGGTAAGGCCACACTTGGAATACTGCATCCAGTTTTGGTCGCCATGATGTAAAAAAGATGTTGAAACTCTTGAAAGAGAGTTTCAGAGAAGAGCAATGAAGATATAAAGATATAAAAACAAACATATAAAGAATGGTTGCTGGAACTGGGTAGGTCTAGTTTAATGAAAAGAAGTACAAGAGAAGAAGGACATGATAGCAGTGTTCCAATATCTCAGAATTGGATATTGGAAAGAAGAGGGAAAGAAAGAAGAGGGAGTCAAGCTATTCTCCAAAACACCTGAGGATAGAACAAGAAGCAATGGATGGAATCTAATCAAGGAGAGAAGCAACCTAGAATTAAGGAGAAATTTCCTAATGGTTAGAACAATTAATCAGTTGAACAACTTGCCTCCAGAAGTTGTAAATGCTCCAACACTGGAAGTTTTTAAGAATAGATTGGGTAACCATTTGTCTGAAATGGTATAGGGTTTCCTGCCTAAGCAGGGGATTGGACTAGAAGACCTCCAAGGTCCCTTCAACTCTGTTATTCTATTCTATTCTATTCTATTCTATTCTATTCTATTCTATTCTATTCTATTCTAATTTGAAATATTATTTGAATATACAGTAATTTGAAAATATGGGAACAATCCCTTATCCTAATGTTTTACTGCATAAAATAGTTGTTATTATTACTGTGTTGCTTTTAATGTTATATTGATAATACGGATTGTCCTTGTTTAGCAACTGCCTTTTATAGTAACTTTTGCATATACAACAGTAATAAATGGGAGTATACAGTAGAAAAAATCATTCTCTGATTACTCAACACACTTACACCCAAATTTCTGTGTCTGACAACAATGCATACTCGAATGAGAGTAATACTGGCCATGAGCCTCCGACCAGATAGGAAACACAACATTATTTGTCTATTCTACTTTATTATAATATTACATTAATAGAACCTCACATATGGTTTGCATGTTACTTTGCAAATATTTCACCAGAACCAATTGCAATTGCTAAACAAGAGCTATATATACAGTGAATTAGTTCATCAAAAGTTAAGCAGAAGTTCATCTTTGGTTAAGCTAAAGATATACATTTTACAGAAGATTTAAAAAATGAAATATGGTTTCACTCCTTGTTGCTCAGAAAAATAGCATCTGAATGCTGAGCAGGACCTCTTTTTTGTTTTAAGAAGAAAAGTTGTAAAAAACCTGGAGAACAGTAAAATGTTTCTGAAGAGAGGAACTTTAAAGAAATTATAGTCTTCCATTCTCTGGAATTTCTCTACATTTTCCCCACTGTAATGGCAATCTTGGGGGAGTGGGGGAGTAATATAGTCCTTAATCCTGTTCTGCTTTACAGTCTTTGCTTTATAACATTCCTTCTTTTCTCCCCATGCTTACCCACTTCTTGATTTTTTTATTGTTGTGTATGTATGTTAATATTTTTGGGTATAAGTGCTTATATTTCTTGGTATCTAAGATGAATAGGAAAAATATTTCAAGTAAGTAGTTATTTTATCAAACATATAGCTCCGCCTGTTAACTATAATGAGGCACATTCCATAAACTACATTAATACATTCCGTCCCAGGCGCCTGATGGATCCCGAAAGGTTCCTGACGGAGCTTGGGCCGTTTCCTGAGACCCTGGCACACGACCCGACCGAAGACCTGGTGGCCTCCTGGGGGAGTGCGGCCACCAGAGCTTTGGACTGTGTCGTGCCTTTGCGGCCTCTGACCCGATGCCGATCTCAATTGGCTCCTTGGATCTCCGAGGAGCTGAGAGAGATGAAGCGTCGGAAAAGACGCCTAGAGAGCATCTGGAAGACTAGTCAATCCGATTCTGACTGGACACTGGTGAGGTCTTATATCAAGACCTACCTAGTGGCGATAAAAGTGGCGAAATCTAAACATTTTTCTGCTCTTATCGCATCTGCAGAGAACCGGCCAGCCGCTCTGTTTAGGGTGACCCACTCCCTTCTTCGGGGGGAGTGCGGGAAGATCCCTTGCAGGGTCGAGCTGAGGATTTTGTGCAATTCCTGCATGATAAAGTTGCTCGGATTTGGGAAGGCTTGGACTCTGACTGGATGAGTCCAGGGGAGGAGACGAGGGTAGGTCTTGAGAATATTATCTGGGAGGAGTTTGATCCTGTGGCTCCCGAGGATGTGGATAGGGTTCTGGGTAAGATTAGTGCCGCCACGTGTTTATTGGACCTGTGTCCCTCCTGGTTGGTACTGGCCTCCCGGGAGGTTACACGAGGCTGGCTCCAGGGGATTATAAGTGCTTCTTTGAGTGAGGGTGCCTTTCTCGCCACCTTGAAAGAGGTGATGGTGAGGCCCCTCCTCAAGAAGCCTTCCCTGGACCCGGCTGAATTGGCTAAGTACCGTCCGGTCTCCAACCTTTGTTTTGTGGCAAAGGTTGTTGAGAGTGTGGTGGCACAACAGCTTCCCCGGCACCTGGATGAAGCTATCTATCTGGACCCGTACCAGTTGGGCTTCAGGCAGGGGTACAGCACAGAAACGGCATTGGTCGCATTGGTGGATGATCTCTGGAGGGCTCGGGACAGGGGTTGCTCCTCTGTCCTGGTCCTATTAGATCTCTCAGCGGCTTTTGATACCATCGACCATGGTATCATGCTGCAATGGTTGAGGGGGTTAGGAATAGGGCGCACCGTCCTGCGGTGGTTCTCCTCCTTCCTCTCCGACCGTTCAGTTTGTGTTGGCAGGGGAGCAGAGGTTGACCTCGAGGCACCTCGCATGGGGAGTGCCGCAAGGGTCGGTCCTCTCGCCCCTTCTGTTCAACATTTATGTGAAGCCGCTGGGTGAGATCAGCCGTGGTTTTGGGGTGTGAGTCCATCACTATGCTGATGACACTCAGCTGTACATCTCCACCCCAGACCACCCCAACGATTCCCTTGATGTGATGTCTCGCTGGCTGGAGGCCGTGCGGGTCTGGATGGGGAGAAATAGGCTCAGACTCAACCCTTCCAAGACTGAGTGGCTGTGGCTTCCGGCGTCCCGATATAGTCAGCTGGTGCCATCGCTGACTATTGGGGGTGAATCTCTGCCCCCCACAGAGAAGGCTCGCAATCTGGGCATCCTCCTGGACACACGGCTGTCTTTAGAAGAGCATATGACAGCCGTGGCCAGGGGGGCTTTTTATCAGGTTCGCCTGATTCACCAGTTGCAGCCCTTTCTGGACCGGGACGCCTTGCGCATGGTCACTCACGCCCTTGTCACCTCCCGGCTGGACTATTGTAATGCTCTCTACATGGGGCTCCCCTTGAAGAACACTCGGAGGCTCCAACTGGTCCAGAATGCAGCTGCGCAGGTGGTTATGGGCGCAACCCGTTGTGCCTAAGTGACACCCCTCCTGCACGAGCTGCACTGGCTCCCAGTGGTCTTCCGGGTGCGATTCAAGGTGTTGGTCACTACCATTAAAGCGCTCCATGGCATAGGACCCGGGTACCTTCGAGACCGCCTTCTGCCACCAACAGCCTCCCACTGGCCAGTTCGCTCCCACAGAGAGGGTCTCCTCAGGGTGCTATCAGCCAAGTTATGTCGGCTGGCAACACCCAGGGGGAGGGCCTTCTCTGTGGGAGCCCCTGCCCTGTGGAATGAACTGCTCCCAGAAATGCGTAAGATCTCCGACCTCCGTGTATTTCACTGTGCCCTCAAGACCTTGCTGTTCCGCCAAGCCGGGCTATCAATCTAATGATTTTTAAATTGGATGTTTTAAATTTTTGGGGTTTTAAATCTGAGCCGAAATTATGTAATAATTTTAATTATTTTTAACTGATGTCTGTCTTTGTGCTTTTAATAGGCTGTACACCGCCCTGAGTCCTTTGGGAGAAGGGCGGTATAGAAATAAAATTATTTATTTATTTATTTATTTATTTATTTATTTATTTATTTATTTATTTAATAGTGCATTATTGAAAGGATATTATCTGATTTCCTTATAAAGTGATTAAACTGGATGTTTTAAGAAAGGATAGATGCAACTTTTATTGAGAAGGGTCAAAAAAGTTAAAGAGAAATTACTTACCTTAATCTTTTCACAATGATCTTCAAGAAACATTAACAGAAATACAGATATAGAAATCTATGCCTTGAAATCAGATTCTCTAAACTGTTTCTAATTGATAGATGCCTTCAATTTTATAAGATATAGATTTTCTTCAAGACAATGTTACATGAATCTATAATGTAACAAATGCGTGTTATAAGAGGGTAGAATGTAGCTGGTTAAAACCTAAAACTCAGTAGAAAGAAGAACACATAAATTATGCAGATAGCTGTGGAAGAACTGATTAAATGAAGTGAGAAAATATTCCATCTTCAGAATACTCCACTAATTTCAAGACTGGTCAATTGAGCTATATTCTCAAGAGCCATTTTCTCAAGAATCGTAGCTTACCAACATTTAATTTACTGTGATCTTTTGCATGTTTAATTATTTTTGAGATATTCTTAATAAAGCCCATGTATTAACCAATAAAGTCACCTCCTGGCAAGAAGGGCAAAAAACAAGATTGATTAATTGATTGATTGATTGAATACATTTTTCTTGTTGAGGAGAAAGAATTTGGGAAAAGCATGTACAGCAATTCATTTCTCTCTTTGAAAGTCAGTATGTCTTTAAAACACGAATTATTGCTGATTATATTTTTAAATTCATTTATATCTAAATGAAAATAAATATTAAATATCTTATATGAAATGAAATGCAAGAACACTTGAAATTCATTTGTTTACTTACCTTGTCCAGAATGACTCTGACAATAATCTATGCTTGCCTGCCTTCGGTCTTGTGGCTCCTCGCTTCCTCCATCTACATGAGAACCGAAACAACACAAGAGAGATTAGGAAAATACAATTTCTCTTCCACTATTACTATCTCTTGAAAGACAGCAGCCTAATTAATCACAGGTAGTTCTCGCTTAACTACTTAACTGGGGTCAAATTTCCATTACTGAGTGACATAGTTGTAAAGAGTGATATCCCATGACCATGCAGCTTGGTGATGGCCATTCCAACAATTCAAGTTGCCAATAGTAAATTCCATTATGTGCTTAAGTGTGATGTTATGTGGTCACCATAACGTCACTGAAAGCCGGCAGTGAAGATCACAAATGGCAATCACATGACTACAGTATTGTCATAAGTTTGAACAATTATGTGAATGAGTAGTTATTAAGTGAGGACCACTTAAACTGCTGTTATTTTTGTGAGCATTCTAATAGCAATGCCTCTATGATTTATTTCTTAGCGCCTCAATTACATAGTATCTTTAAAACCATAAAAATAACTTCTCTTGATCTCTCCATAAACGTCTGAACTAAACCAGTTATTTTCTTATTCAACTCATATGTTCCAAAGCACAAAGGAATAGTTGATCACATACTAAAATAAATCTACATTTGAGAATCATCTAATCATTCTATAAAGTGCTCCATCACACTAAAATTAGCATTCAGTAATCACAAATATATATATTTTTTAATTTGATTTATATGCCGCCCTTCTCCGGAGACTCAGGGCGGCTTACAATGCGTTAAGCAATAGCCTTCATACTTTTGTATATTTATACAAAGTCAGCTTATTGCCCCCACAACTGGGTCCTATTTATTGTTTATATAAGGTATAGTGGCAGACAAAGTGACCAAATAAACTTCTTTATGGAAAAATTAGAAGACCACATTATGCAGTTAAGATTACATTATATTTGCTGGTAATAACTACATACCTATGTAAACATCATACAATCTGGACCCAGACCAAATTGTGCATCAAAGTGCAACTAATTTTAAATGAATCATTTATTAATCAAATTTCAAAGTCAGTAACAATTCAGAAGAGAACCAGTCTAGTATAGTGGTAAAGGCATCTAGGTAAAAACTATGATAATAAGAGTTCTAATCCCATTTTAGACACAAAGACTGCTGAGTAGCCTTGGATCATTCTCACTCTCAGCTCCTAGGAACAAGGCAATGGCAAATCATTTCTGAGAAAACTTGCCAAGAACTATTTCACAGAAGTTTAGAATATCTATTGAAAAAATCCTTTATGCTCAATATGATATTCATTGCTACCTGGATCTTAGCAACTAAAATGATTAAAGCCTTGGAGACAAAAACATATGAAAAAGGCTTGCAGGATTTGGGTTTGGCTAGTCTAGAGAAAAGAAGGACTAAGAGGGACATGATAGCAGTATTTCAATATTTGAGAGGCTGCCACAAAGAAGAAGGGGTCAACTTATTTTCCAAAGCACCAGAAGGCAGGATGAAAAATACGGATGGAAACTAATCAAGGAGGGAAGCAACCTGGAATTAAGGAGAAACTTAATTAGTCAGTGGAACAGCTTGCTGTCAGAAACTGTGGGTGCTTCATCACTGGAGGTTTTTAAGATGAGACTGGACAATCACTTGTCTGAAATGGTATAGTGTCTCCTGTTTGAACAGAGCAAGGTCCCTTCCAGCTCTATTCTAATTGAACTAAAATAGACTACATACCATAATAGTACCACCATTGTAAAACTAGCCCTTCTTTGTTCTTCCAAGGCAAAAGACTGCTCCCCTTCAGCAGCTCCACCATCTATATCCCCCTCCCTCCAATCTCTGATCTTTTTTGGCTGCCCTGCACAGCCTAAATAGGCCACTGTATTCTCTCACCGCTACCTAAAGTGAACTGTCTTCCCTGTCCTTTGTATGACTATCATGCTAGGCTTACTACTTCCACTGAGGAATGCTGCCTCAAGACCTGAAGCATTGCATGGAATTGCTAGGGCCGCTGAAGTGGGATCGGGCATTAGCCCTTCATGCTGGAAGGATGAGAGCTCTACCAAGGAGTGGGAGCCTTCCAAGCCGAAATTGCCAACAAGCGACCCTCAGCAGGATCGGGAAGAAACCCTTCACACTGGAATTAGCTCAGGGGTCGGCAACCTTAAACACTCAAAGAGCCACTTGGGCCCGTTTCCTACAGAAAAAAACACACCAGGAGCCACAAAAACTAGGTGGGCATGGCCAACTCGATGTCACTCACTCCCACCATCACATGACCACCTAGTCACACAGTTTTCACAAAACTATTCTCTATGTCTCTCTCCCCCTCTCCCTATCTCCCCCTCTGTCCCCCATGTCTCTTTCCCTCTCTTCCCCTCTCTCACCCACTCTCTATGTATCACTCTATATGTCTCTCTCTATGTCTCACTCTCTCTCTCTGTATGTGTGTGTGTGTGTCTCCCCCCTCCCTTCGGGTGACCGTCCTCCTCCTCCACCCGTCCTCTCGTAAATCCCTGGCCAGCTGTGGCTGAGCCGGGAGCGTTCGCACACGCAGGGAGACTCCAGCCTGAAGTGGCAGGAAGCGAAGGCTGCCTTATGTGAAAATGTAGTGCAAAGGCAGGTACAGAGCAGCTTTGCTCCTGCACTCTCCGGTGACCCTCTTCCCCCCTTCTCTCAGAATGCCTGGGACAGCTGTGGCTGAGCCAGGAGCTGCGCACGGGCAGGGAGACCCTCCTCAAATGAGCACCAAAGCTCGGAGCGGGCAGCGGCTCTCTTAAGGAGGGACTCTCCACGCATGCGCACACTCCTGGCTCAACCACAGCTGGCCAGGGGGGTTATGAGAGGAGGAGGGGGAGGAGAGTGCAGGAACGAAGCTGCCCTGTACCTGCTTTCACGCCACAATTGCACGTAAGGCAGCCTTCACTTCCTGCCGCTTCGGGCTGGAGTCCAAAAAAGAAATAAGAGGGGCGGGGCAGAGCAAACCAGTGATGGGATAGGGAGCCGCGGCAGAGGGCCCAAAGAGCCATTTGTGCTCCGGAGCCATGGGTTGCCAACTCCTGAATTAGCTCAACCGATTTTGTGGGAGCAATTAAACTATCAGAAAACAATCAAGAATGTGCAGCTCATCAAAGTAATGTCCATTCAGATCAACTGAGTCTGAAAGCTGGAAAGCAAGAGGAAGAGGAGGAGCTTAACAGCTTGCAGACTCAGTCCTAGGACAGATGACAAAGTTAACCCATTCCTGACTGTTGGCCCCACATTCAGAGAGAATACCAATAAGCACTATTGCTACAGTGCACAAAGATGGCTCAGATCAATGGCAGACTAAGAATTCTCCAAGCCATGTGGCTCTGGTTTTGCAATGGTTTTGCAATTAATTGAGGCAAAAAAAACCCAGAGGGCGCATCCAGGAGTCCCTAAAGCCATGGTAAGGCTCTCGTGCTTCTTGCCACACCATGGCTTCAGGGGCTTCTGGATGGACCCTCTGGGGTTTTTTGCCTCAAATAGTCGCAAAATTCATTTCAAGGCAAGGAATCTCTGAGCCACACTGCAGCAAGAAGCACCTGCTTAGGAACCCATCTCATGCCATGCTCCATTGGCCATTTACCAAATAAGAAGCACCCCACACTCACCCAGCTCCATCTTGCCCATGACTTTATCATCATCATCATCATCATCATCATCATCATCATCATCATCATCATTTCTATGCCGCCCACTCTCCGAGTGTAAACTCTGGGCAGTTTACAGCAAAGACAGTATACTAAATAGCATATTGCCCCCAACAATCTGGGTCCTCATTTTACCCACCTCAGAAGGATGGAAGGCTGAGTCAACCTTGAGCCGGTGAGATTTGATCCGCTGATCTGCTGAACTAGTAGTCAGCTGAAGTAGCTGCAGTACTGCACTCTAACCACTGTGCCACCTCTGCTCATCTCACCATCTGCTAAAGTCACCATCTGTCACTTTAAAGTCACTTTAGCTCACCATCTGCTAAAGTCACCCTCGTACTCTGAATTGTCTTCACTGGCTTATGGAACATTTCCACTGTGCTTCCTGTGAATGCCAGGATGGTGAGCCCAGTGGAGGGGAGGCAGGCAAAGACAATAATAATCAGCCGGGGGAACAGTGGTGGGCAGTTGTAAATGCAGGCAAAGTCAAATTTTTATCATGTGACCATGGTCATAAATCCACTTTTTGAGCACCATTGTAATTGAACAGTCACTGAATGATTGGACATTAAGCAAGGATTATCTATAATTCTGTATCTTTTTTCAGCCTTCTCTTTTAGGGTGAAAATGTCACCTTCCTTTTGAGTAAATAGGGTTCTAGGAGGAAAAGTCTATTACAAATGTATGAAGAAGAGAATGACAATCATTAAGCTACATGAACCTCTAGGTTTATGTATGTGGCAGAAGTATGTGAACCTCTTCTTTAGCGCATTTCTTCAGACACAAGTGACCTATTTAGTGCCTGCCTCTGAACCAGGATGACTTGCCATCACTGATGCAACTTTAAATTCTGAATTGTATCAGCAAATTCTATAGGAAGATGTCAGGTATCTTATCCATGATTTAAAGCTCAAGAGAAAGTCGGTAATGTAGCAAATGACCAAATCACACAAATCATATGACCCAAGAATGGTTAAAATTGAAGTTAATGTTTTGGAATAGCCAAGTAGAAGTCCTAATTTAAATCCTATAGAAATATGGTAGAGTGACCTAAAGCCGGTAGTTCATACAAGAAGACCCCCAATATTCCTGAGTTGAAGCTGTTCTATAAGGAAAAAGGCTAAAATTCCTCCCAGCCAATGTGCAGGATGATAACAGTTATTGGAAAAATTTAATGCAGTCATTCCTGTGCAAAAAGGCACACCAGTTTGTGAAAGCAAAGGTTTATATGGTATTGCCACACTGAGATATATTCTGTATCTTTGAATAATTTTCTTCAATAAATAAACAAGTAAAATGCTTTTGACTTATTTCTTTAAGTGGGTTCTTTTTATCTAATTTTAGGGTTTATGTGGAGAACGGATCAATATAAAATAAAA